GCGTCTCCCTTAAATTTGAGGTCAGAGTCCCTTAGTAAGAGGGACAGTTTTTAGATATTTTCTTCCTTAAACTCGGAGGGACGGTGGCCCGCTTAAAATGCAGGGGTATATGTCCCCCTTAAGTCGGGGTCACGCTGCTTATACTTCATACAAAATACATTCTGCAGACATGTTCCGAAACGAGTCGCCTCGACATCCGCGCTTCGTACGCCACGAGGTAACCAAATCAAGAGGTTACTTTGTCACGTGGCATATAAAGCACGGATGTCGCGGTGACTCGCATTGGAACATGTCTGCAGAATGTATTTTGTATGATGTATAAGCAGCGTGACCCCGGCTTTAAGTTACCTCTGTTATTGTATCGTACAATTTCTGCTCCTTCGTGTTTTGTGTGTAAGCTGACATGCTGTACTGCACTTCTCGCACTTTCGCTGATATTGTTTAACCAAAGTTATTCTGTGCTGCGTAGCAGAATTGAAATTTGATCTGTACATCTTGTTTGATAAACGGAATCAATGTGTTAAAGAAAACAGTAACAATCTTTAAGAGTAAACACTGTTTTATTTGCCATGACACAAGAAAATATTTTGATATGTCTTTATCAAAATAATAATTCTATAACGATGTTCTGGTAGCTTTTACGAATAAAAAAGACTTAGAACGACGCCAGAAATCGGCGTTTCTTGGAAACTATCACACAAAAACTTTCGTGCGGCAGAGTGACTCATTTTGCCTATCATAAACAATAACAATACAATCGTGCTGGAAAAAAAAAGTTTTTTTTAGCGGATAACACAAAAAGAAAAGTACATTCTAAAAAAAAGCCCGTGCCTCTACTTTCCCGCACAACACTTGGAAAGACAATCACCATAACTCTCGGAGGCAGCTCAGCGAATGTAGATGCCGAAACATATGATTATACCAAAAAAATGAGTTCCGACATTAAGCACAACAAGCGTGATGTTTTGCATTGGTTAATGTCACAACTCGGACTGGCTTTTTTGGTCTAATCTTATGTTTCGGCATCGTGATTCGCTGAGCTGCTTCCGTGAGTTACGGTGATTGACTTTCCAAGTGCTGGCTCGGGAAAGTAGATTCCTGTGCTTTTTTTAGAGCGTAGTTACCTTCTTCATAGCATTAAAAACTAATTATTCGGCGTCTCTTGCCATCAGCAGAGGCTCAGAATTTCTGTTGTTTTTGAACGGCCATAAGCGATTTTATGAGCTTCTCCGACATAAACTGAATCGAAACACTTTATTTTCAACGAGCAGACCCTAGAGGAGTCCAAAAGTTTGTCCACATGCCACAGGGTAGGAGAGTCCCGTTATGTAATACACCCATAAGCACATGACTAGTGCCCCCTCCATAGTCGTGCTAGCGGTGAGTTTCACTGACCAGTTCCCAGAAACGATCCCTTTCTCCGAACCGAAGAAAGTCTTGGGTCTTGGAACTTTTTCGTCTGGGGTAAAATCGTCCTGCAAGCAGCAATTGTTAAAAAAAAAAAAAAAAAAATTGCGTCAGCGTCACTTAGATCTCTATTTTTGCATTCGCTTTTTCACATACCATAGGTGATGAAAGAACTTCTGGCCAATCGAGACCGGAGGATGGTCTTAATGTTCAAGAATGTTGTTGGGTTGTCTCCGCAGAAGGCCCCTTTTACCTCCTCCAGGTTTCCCAGCATGGTGACGATCGTGTTATGGAACCGAAGTTGTGCATCCACCTTTAGCTGAATGAAAGACCATATTGTTTTCCTTTAGATACAGAGAGTGGGAATTAGAATAAAGGTAATGAAGCGCTTTCACCTGTTATCAAGCAGGCGCTAGGAAACAAATGCGAAAATAAAGTGCAAACAGTTCAAAGATTCGGAACCCAATCTGTATACGATGAAATAGCGAGTGACATTAGCTTATGACGTAACTTCTGCTACTACTAATTTTTGGTACGAGAATAGACTGCAGTTTCAATTAATTTACGAGAATCAATCGTTTCTGTATTACCAAGACAAAACGAAAACGCATTTAGTAGTAGATGAACTTTAGAAGCCCCATGTGCTTTGGAAAGCATGGATTGCATTTGCGGCTCGAAGCTGCAGAAGTGATCTAGTGCATGTTTTAGAAAGCAACATAATGAAATAAAAAAATTACATTTCTGTAAATATTTCGCCAAAGCCATTCTTTTTTTTTTTTTTTTTTTTTTTCAGAAGCAGTGCATATGCCAACAGAACGTAAATAGAGCCTACCTACATACCGGAATACAAAAAGTTAATAATTACCGAGTTCGTTGTGAACCGTGTGCGGGTGGCCGCAGTAGGCTCACCACTCAGGGTGGTGCGTTCCACCGTGCAGAGGGTCCCGGTAGAGCATTTAAACGAGCAATCCGAGCGGAACCCCCGGCTGATTCCCTTCATGTCAACGTTCGTTGCCATTGCCTCACTCTGAAAACAAGATTGTTAATAACGGTCAGTCATTTAACGCCCATAGTCAACCTAGCCCTAAAGCGCATAAGAAAGAAAAAAAAAAAAAGCAAACTTCTGTTTATATATTTTTCGCGGATGTACAACACAGAAAAAAAAATATTCAGCCAGCTACAGAAAACAAAGAGCATAATAAACATCATAAATAAAATCTCCAAAAACAAAAACATGGTCGGCGCCAAAAAAAAAACAAAAAAAAAAAAAAAACGCCGGTAGCTGTGCCGGCACGACCGTCAAAATATAACGAACAAAACAGTACGACAAAGAAATACAAAAAAAAAAAAAAAGTACTCCCTGGCCACCGCTACACCCTTCCCCCCTTTCCGCAGACGCCGCGACGCCGACGCAACGCGAACACGCGAAGAAAATAAAAACTTTATTTCTTCTTTTTGTTTTGTGCTCGTCTAATCCCCCTGCCCCTTTCACAAACATACACACACATTATGGGTTTTTGCTCGCCGCCCACTTGAGAAAAAAATGTTCATAATCACTGCAACGCTAACGATGTCTACAACATAACGTTGCAGTGTAAATGGCTGTAATGAATTGTGAAGGTCAACAAACGCAAAATCGCCAACATTGTTTCTGTCAATCAACGCTCTCGGGCGGTCAACCTCAAGCATTTAGAGTGCACACCGAGAAAGAAATCGGCGAGCCAAGCTTAAAAACACTGACTGCCCCAGCTAGGGTGCCTTTATGTTGGCTTTGCCTTAGGGAGGGTGATGCCATCCTTTGTAGTACCCGATGCCGACAGTGTACGCTCACGGATAAAATACCAGGAAATTGCCGGTAATAAAATGCCGGCGTAGCACTGCCAAAGGTAGCAGCTCGAGCTGGGAGAAGAACGATCGCGCGTTCGAAATTAAAAAGTAGACAAAACATTAGGACACCCTAACCCGCTAAAAGTGTTTTGTGCGAAAGACAGCCCTGCGGCTCACGGCAGGGCAAACGATTAGCGACGCTTTGTCCTAGCTGAACGAGCAGATCCAGGAAGCGACCGCGTCCGCGGACTACACCTGAACACTCTCACTCTACATGCAAAGCTCGTGCATCTCACAGCCAGCGTGAAAATATTGATGGCTCGTTATTCCCACCCGCAATGCACCCAAAACAAAAGCGCCAATATGACAGGATTACTCACCCGAAGGAAGTCAAACGAGCAGCATGACGCTTGCGACTCTCCGGCAACGACCGTTTCCAGCCAGCTCTCTGCGAATTGGCGCGAAGCCTTAGCACCGTCCGAACTCTTTGCCGTGGATTAGTGCGCCTGCCCCTCTCCTCCTGACCGAACTACATTGGTCCAGTTAAGAGGGCCCAGTCCCCTCTTAATATGAAGGGAGACGCGTGAATCTTTCTGTCGGTCTTTCCTGTTCAGAGGGACTAACGAAACGGTTTCCTTGGGCTCTCTTAATATGTTGGTGTCCCTCTAGATGTTGCTATTTTATTTTTCAATTTCCCTCTTAAAAAGAGCTGTCCCCCTGAAAGCATTGTTGTCCCCTCTAAAATCAGAGGGACAGCGTTATTTATGAGAGAGTGGTTTTAGAGTGTAGGTTATCAGAAGTACAAAACACACAAAGACAGCTTTATTGTGAAGTCCGGGAGATATGATCATACAATAAAAGAACAAAATACAGAAGCAGAGCAGTCATAACACCGGGTACTTTAAACCAGAACCCCAATATCTCAGGTCCTTACTAATATCTCTCTTTTCTTTGTGAAGAATATTAGTGTCACCCCTTCATGTCCACGCTATTTCTGATTGTGTTGTCCTTTCTCGGGGTGAGCAACGACTGGAAGGTATAGTCAATTGTTTAGCGGCGAAACTGCGGACTTCTCATTTTTACAAACCTGGGTGCCTAAGGATTCTCACAATGGGCACCAAAGCAGCATTTGGAGAGTTCAGTCTACGTCCGGGCACAGTCATGTGCGTCCAGGTTGAAGGCGCGCTACCGGGCCTGTGGTAATAGTGCAATCTGTTTGGTTTGCTCCACTGCGCTGTAGGAAGACCGCTTGAACTCTGCAAGCATCGCTTCTTTGCGTAATGCGAAAACCCCGAAGTTTGTAGAAGTTGGAAGCCTTTCTCCTTCCTCTCCCTCCTCTCGACTAGCCAAAAGAAAAACTTTTTTTTGTTTGTTTCAAGACTGATTAAAAGTTTGAAAATTAACTAGCCGAACCTGAGGTTCGACAATAGTTCGCCGCATTCTTAGAAATAGCCCAAAATAGCCACATAGCCAACTACGAAATTTTGACGCCAACTAAAAGAAATGTAGCCCAATTTTGCTATATATAGCCCAATCTGGCAACACTGCTGGCGCCTGCCGCATCCACCACCGCTGCTTGGACACCGCAGGGGCGCAGCCCACAACGGCACGATACAATCTACGAAGTCATCAGTCGCAAATGGAGGGACCACCTTTTTGGACGCTACCTGCCGGAGACCCGTTTCGGGCACCATAGTGCCGGGGAGGGACGGAATCGAAAATTGGGCTTAACGGTTTCATACAGGTGTCTTGACACTCACCTTCTTCGAGGCAGTCCTTGTCCTTGCAGTAGACGTTAATCTTTCGAGTGGGGGCCGTCTTCGCTGTAGTCGTCTCCCTGTAGCACAGATGAGCGATCAGCGCACCGCCCGGTGAAAAAACTGGCTGAAATTGCTCGAAAATGTTGAACAGTCACCGGGACAGCGTCTCGTTGAACGCGCCGTTTGCCTAAGGCACCGCCGAGATTGATTTTGCCAGAAAAAGACGATATTTCTTCACCTTAGAGAGCGGTCTGCATGGGTGTGTGCTGTGCCGCACATAAAAATGGGGTGAATATGGGGCTACGGATGTACGAGGTAGTTACACTTTGGAAACACGCAATGCGTCGCCACCGCGCGGCGTGCTTTCATTTTCAAATTATTTCAAATGTAGAATGAACGCTGCCGCTGCCCTGAGCTATCCCAGCAAATCTAGAGACAAGAACGTGCCGCGTGACGTCGCGCTTTTTAAGTCTTCAGGTCAAACCGAAAAGCCACATGCTCTCGGAGCTGGTTTCGCTTCGATGTTTCGTAGGGACCGCTTCCCATCTCGGTCGTTTCCTGATTCATCGTGTGTTTGCAAAGAGCGTGTGCTGAGCACTACAGCGCCAGAGCCTGGGCTATCATCTGTCTGTGTCTAAACACCATATTGGACTTCGGATTTGTGGCGTGAATCAATAAAGTTGATGATGTTACCGTGACAACCGTGTATATGGTCATTCTGCGTAGCTCTCCGATTTTACGGCGTCGCCTACCTCAAAAGCCAAGGAAACGTCGGTTCTAACGCGTTAGCACTATACACGTCTTGCGCTTCATTGCGCCATGCTGGGGACCATTCCTATTTCTTCCTTCCAAGAAAAAATTCGGTGGTACAAGATGTGTGCTGCAAAAGAGATGAAGGTGAACGTTTCGGCAGACGTCTGCCTGGTTGCGTTAAATGTTGTAAATAAATAAAGGGCCAACGCCAACCAATCCCTAAAAGATCGTAGGGTTCCAACGTTTCGGTGCCGCCTCGGCACCTTCTTCAGGGGGGCTATTTAGAAGAGAAGCAGCTTTTTTATTTTCTTCTGCGGTGAATGTAAAGCAATATCTTCGAGTCTTTTTTTTTTTTCGTTTTTTTACGGTGGTTAGTTTTCAAACCAGGTTCGGTACCTTCGTTTTCTTTCAAGTTGGTTATTTACAAACGAGGATCGGCATCTTCGTTTTCTTCTATGGTAGGGGCCTGTTTCTTTGGTGTTTCCTCTAAGTGTCGTAGTCCACTGACGTATGCTGAGGGCAAGGTGCCGGAGGATTGATTAATATTTCCTGGTGTGATCTGTATGCGCCATGACTCAATGAAGAGCCGTTGCCGCCAGTTGGTTTTCAAAGTCGATGCGGTGGTCATTGTCCTCGCAGTGTTCCGCGACGGCGCTACGTTCTCGATCAAATGTGCGTACGTCATTCTTATGTTGGCGGACTCTTTCCTTGAGGTTGTGCTCAGCAGCAGGTTACCATAATGGCTGCTAGTGTAACGTCAGTGCGAGCAACACAAAACATTGGGCTCGTGTCTTCGTCTTTCCTCGCGCTTGTGATGGAATAGAGCATTAGGCCCCTCGAGCGCCTTCAGGCTCTTGTTGTTTCCGGTGCTTCTATATCTTTTTTAAGGTATGAACAAACTAGACCAATTAACCCCTCCGTTTATTACATGTAGTCGACGCGGCCGGGCCAAGAGATGCGTTAGATCGTGCTCTCTGGACGCGATATTTGTGTGTACTGTTCCCTGCGCATGCTCAAAACGAGCTCCCATCTACAGGCTGCAAGATCGGCCACCTTGATGATGTGGAACACGCCATCAGCTCGCGCTTAGCAGCCATAGTCTCAGATATGGCTGCCAGTGAATACCCCCAACAGAAGGTGCAATCTGCAAACACATAAAATAAGAGGGGCCAGTAAATAGCCAAAAAATATCGGTGGGCACTATAACCCATCTGAACAAATCTAGCACTGAGAGTATGTGACTTTTGGGTTTGGCCTTCCGATTCCCGGAGCGCGAGGTCACGTGGTGCTGCTTTGGCTGAGATGCAATCACTCGAGAATAACTTGCTGCATTGGCCACGGTGACACTATTATTTAAAGTGAAATGTGCAATTAATGAGGCGTAGTAAAGAATCCCATATTGCTACTAAGCATGAGCATTCATTCACCGTTCTTCACCACCGAAACTTACAAATCGTGAGACGGTGGCGCTTCTTCGCAGCTTGGTGCTTGCACTTTCCGCCACACGGGTTAACAAAAGTTTACTCTTCCCTTCACTCATGCGAGTAGTCCGATAACCAGCGCTTGGTGATCTCCGTTTTCCCAACGTCTATTTTTCCGCATTAAGTGTTTAGCTTGTTCCTCCCGACATGCTCCCACACAGTGTCTCTGTGTTCCCATATTTCGCTTTGTCCACCCTAGCTGGTAACACTCCTGCCCTGGCCTCGGATAACAAGCTACCCCGAGAATTGTCACAGATACTTCCCCAGCAGCAATATTCGCCTTACAGTTTCTATTAAGGCCCGTTCACACTCTTGCGACCGAGTAAGACCGAGAGAGACCAGACCGGTTTTTAAGCCTTTTGCGACTTCTTAGGACCGGATGCGATGCAGCGGAGCTGGTCCTAAGACATCGCAAGAGGCTTAAAAACCGGTCTGGTCTCTCTCGGTCTAACTCGGTCGCAAGAGTGGGAACGGGCCTTTAGTCTCTCGAGCCGATTTAGTCAGCATCCCCGCTTTTCATATATCCCTCTCTGCTCTATTTTGCACTTTTTTACCGTCATTTCCTGATCCGCGTTACCATTATTGCCCAAAACATTTTGACCCGAGTTTTCTTGTTTGCTTCCTTCGTGTTGTATTGACGTCCTTCATGTACAAATAGCTAAAACTCCCCATGCACATTGTTCCGCAATCATTTCTCTTAGTCTTTCTTTCACATTTTATCTTACTAAGCTTCCTTGCCCTCAAATGATTACCAATGACGACCTCGTACCCCTTGATTCGGTGTTCCGAAAAAAAGATCACGCCATCTATAGAGAAAAGTCTATAAATATATCGCGGGAGAATCCCCTTTTATCGAGCCGCATAAATGGCTCAGGTTACTCTGCGCTACACTCTCAGAAAAAAAGGAGCCAAATGGGCAAAAAAGGGTTCTTTTCGCTAAATAAGAACCGATTTCGGGGAAGATCCTTTAGAAGCGTGCTTTCTCAACTAAAAGCACCCCTCGCAAAGTAAAAAAAGAAATGCAGAGCTAGTTTCCGGCCTGGAGAGAGCGAAAAGGGTTCTTGTTGCAGCCAGGAAAGAGATAAAGCGATCTTTGGGAAAAGGAGGTCACTTAAGTCTTCTACCGGATAGAGGGACACAATGACAAGGCTCGAAAGGCTTTGCACGCGAGAAATTGGGTGCGCCATTCTGTGGAAACAAAGCTGCCCGTGCGAGCTGTCAAGTGCTTGAAAGCTTAGAGAGGTGGAATGTCGTAGTTATTTACCAAGTCGCGTTGTGTTGCTTACCAAATCGAGATAATCTTCGCCTTAGACCACAGATGAAACTGCTCGTCGTATTTTATTTAGTAAGAAATGTTAGTATAAAGCTACTCTTAGGTACTCATTTGTATAAACCAAACGGGTCATTGAATTAAAGTTTATTTGAAGAAATCTGTACCTCCGGAAATCGATTGTGTAGTTTATTTCCCCCCAACCCCCAAAAAATGCATACAAATTTTCAAAGGTGCAAAACTTCGATGAATGAGCAACACACACAAAAAAGTGCATGTTGCGATGAATGAGTGATACGGTGATTAAGCGGCGTCGTGTTTTTTTAGTAACAAAAGCTATTTTTTAACTTGCTTTCGTGTTTAAACAATATACGTATAACTGCGCGTATGAATGAAAAAAAAAATAGAACAGAGGAACGTTTTTGTGTTTTTTTGTTTTAGTATAGAATGCAGTTGTCCTAGCTTGTGGTCATGAGTCATGACACCACCCGTCTCCCAATACGGCGCCTCTGATTGTTTCGCGGCACGCGTCAAGCCGCAAAAATAGAGTTGGGACCCATCCGCGAGGGGCATCAAAAATCCTCCTGCGCGGAAGGTTCAAGTGATGTGTTGCAGTCATCTTTATCTTCAAAAATAAATCAGTCTGTAAATGGTGGTTTTTCGATTTCAAGGAGCAGTTATGTCTATAGTCGGTTGCAAGCTAAGAAAAAACCGGAAATGCCTCTCAGAGGAAAATGTAATCCTACGCCGAGAAACGCCAGCCAATCGTTTTCATGATGTCACGATTCCGTGAACCAATCGCGATACTTTTGAAAAAAAAAAAAAAAAACAAAGCTCAACATGGCTGCTGGCCTTAGCAACGCGACGCTAGTTTCTCGTGACAATTATTCTGCTTTTTTGCACCGTGTTTTACGTGCCCGAGGTTACGCCACGAAATCTTAATGGTATCGGCTTGCGTTGCGTTTACAGCAGTTTTTGCGTGACAACGTGAGAATCCAGCGACGCTATCGCCAACGAAAATTTCGAAGCGGGCGCGAGGCTTAGCACTGCTGAGAGGTATGTTAGACGGTATGTTGACAGTATCTTGGACAGAAAATGAATTGGGAAGACGGTACCTTGGACATGACTTTCTTTCTTTACTAAACAGCTATTTCGTTGACAAAAACGTATTCTAACTTATTTAAATGTCCTGAATGAATTAAATAAATATTGTAGTAGTTTAAGACAGGTTTCCTGGAGGAAGAAAAAGCAACGTTGCTAGCGAACTACTTTCTCGACGGCGGAGGCACTTCACATGGGCGCAATGCGCTTGTGGGTGGAGCTAAAAGATTGTTCTTAGGTTGCATCCGACTATAGAAGGATACCCCGAAATAATCCTATAGGCATATTCTATAAGTGCGTTTTGAGTGAAGCAAAACTAAACTTCGATATGTTGTGCGTTCAAATTTATGTGCAGTGTAAGAAATGAGTGCTCCGTCCGCCGTTGAACCCCGCTCGCTACATTGAGGTCGCCCACCAAGAGTTAGGAGAATGGGATGGCATGAGGAAAAAAAAAACAACACAGAAACGTGGT